ATATGTCTTTACTATGCCATTTGTAGCTCGGCCTTGTAAACTTTTCCAACCGATCCTCCTGGTCTTGCTTTGGCAGCTATCACTCACTCAGTCGTTCCCAATGGGTTCCTTTGTAGTGTCATTTCTTTTATGGCCTCTTGGAAAACTCAGCTCACTCCTCCTTGATAGCTTCATGTTTTGGAACAATCTCATAAAAGGCTTTACATCTAGAATATAGGTCATTCTTGACTATATCAAGCTGCTTCTAGAGTCCTACCGACATATGTGGTTTTGCTTTGGAGTCCTCTTCTGATGGCTCCTCCAAGGGTGCATTATCCTTCTCCCCCGAGCCCCTCATATTTCCATCATCTATAGACCTATCTTTGCCTAAGTCAACCTTCTTGGGGGGGCTTTGGATTGTCCTATTTCTACCATGTTAATGGCGGCTGTCCTCTGAAAATGTTCCTTATCAACTTTCATCTCCGATTTTCCCTTGTCTCCAAAGATCAAGTGGCCCTTTATCAAATTCTCCTGAATGACATTCCTGAACACCACACAATTACATAGAATGGATCCAAAAATGGTGTCATTTACAATATGTCTTGTTCTACAATTCTACGACTAAGGGGAGCTTGTGGCCAAATGAATGTTTGATGATGTTGTCAACTAGCAGATGGTCAAAATTTTGATCGTCCTTTAAAATGTTAAAGTCAAATTTTTGGCCGTTTCCATCACTAGTGTCTTTATCAATGCAGCCGCCTTGCAATGATCTTAGCCATGATCACTTCTAACTCTTGATCTAGCTCATCCATAAAGAACTTAGTGTTGGGATCTCTATAGAATGTTCCTTTGGACACGTTTCTTCGGTCTAGCTCTTCGCGTAGGATATGCCTGTTTTAGGTAGCCCATGTGGCCAACTCAAAAAGATTGTTGAACTCCACTTCTTCGAACCTCTTCCGGAGCACAAATCCCAAACCATTATGTGCAATTCGTACATACTCCATCTCGGGCAGTATCAACCTGCACTAGTTCCTCACCTTTTTAAATCGCGCAATATACTGCTCCATTGTTTTTCTAGTCATCTGGTATAACATGGCCAAATCGGTCATGGCGACCTTCAGCTTAGTGCGGTAAAAATGAGCATGAAACTTGTCTTCGACCTATTACTAGCCCAACACGGAGTTGGGCGGCAACTCAATGTACTGCCTGAAGGCTAATCCTGTCAAGAAAATTGTCAAATAGCCTCAACTTCAGATATTTGTTAGCCTTGGCCTCACCGTACTAGATGGTGAAACGACCAATATCTTCCACAGTCCACTGATCGTCTTCACCCAAAAATGTATCTAACACTGGAACTTTGTACCCTAATGGATACTCATATTCCCTATCCACCCAGTCAATATAAGGTTTGCAGTATGTTATCTTGTTCACCCTTCACATCACGGGGTAGATATGTTCTTGAATGATTTTATCCAGTTGGTCCCCGTTCATAACCACATGAGGTGCCATTGGAATTACAATCAACAATTGACTTCTTTGCCCCTAATCTAGGGATTGGAGACCATTTCTTCCTAGAAAAGAGGATTGTTGTTGCGTCTGAAGCCATTCCTAGCCTACTATGCTCTCTAAGGCAGCACGTATAGTGGAATCATTGGCTATGGTGCTTCGACTAGAGCCATCTGCATAGGGGGAAACAAGGGTTGTCTCCTATCCCCTGGACGGTTTAGACTGTCTACTATCCGCTCTAGTGCTTGTCTGGTTCAGTCAAATTCTTTTTTGATCAAGTCTCCCAAGCGCGGAATAAATTTGGAGACTTGTTGCGAGACTTCCTACAAAATAGCCTTGATGGAGGTCTTCGACTCAAAGTCGGACTCGCGGTTCTCTTTTCCCTAGGGTGGAGGCAATTCTTCTTTCAGGTTGGGGATGCCATGCCTGCTTTCTTCCACAACTTCATGCGCTGGAGGCACTTCAGATGCTCCCAATTTTGGCCTTAACTTGAGTGTTTTCCCCTATCACCTCCGATGGTCCCATCAAGCGTGCCAAAAAATATGTTTGGTGTATTTTCGGATTACGAGCGTGTGAAAGTCTAGGTGGACTTAAAATCCAAACTCAGACAACCTTAACTACTTGAATTGATGTTGGGTTCTAAAAATTGTGACTGTTCAAGTAACTATAGCCAAACATAAGACTATCTATACGATTTTTTCTATGCCTTGGAGAATTGAGGACTTTAAATAATTTCGCCGATCAAAGACATGTGAACACTGCTAAAAGTAAATTATGAAAAAACAAAGTAACAAGTAAACTAAATTCAAATCTGAAAGACAAACCAAACACTGGACTTAGCATTAAATGAAAGCAGTAAAAATCAATGGAGTGTTGTATTTAAGGAAAAAGTAAAGGTTGCTCGAAAGTAAGGTTGGCTCTGTGAAGAATATTTGTGATTTGATCAGGGGATTTCTTTCTAGTAACCTAGGCTTTGCTATTTATAGAGATGACTCTCAACCATTGATCCATCTTTTCTAGGCATGACCTGCGATTATGGCCTTGTCCTTTGTTACACGTGAATGTAAGTTGAACTATTTTCAATTGGCTGCTCATGATGTTACATTTTCTCGTTTCTCTGGATTCCAAGAGTCTTATTCCTCTAGCAATCTTGTCGATTGTGGACTCTCATAGACTCTTATGACTGTCAGAATCTTTCCACGTGCCACCATCGAATTTTTCTATTTTTGGATGCCGCTAAATACTCTATATTTGGGGTGTCGTTTTGGCTCCTTTGAATTTAAAGCTTTACAGCTACACAAGCCTTGCTCAGCTGTCGTACCACCATTGGTCATGATGTTCAAGGATTGCGGCTAATGCTGCACGTGTAGACCTTTGATCATCCCGTAGTCTTTTCAGATATGCAAGAAATGACTGGTATGCGATCTGTCCATATCTTCTTAATTGTCATTTCGGCATGATTTGTAACGCCCCAAAACCCACCTTAAACGGCATTACAATCTATAAACCATTCGCATCATGAGAACAACTAAATAAATTTCATCATTAAAGAAATTTCATTCATCAAATATAACATTTACCATATTAACCCAAAAGAATAGGTCATCCATGACCATTACATCCCAAAAGAATGTGATCGACTATGATAATTACATTCCAAAAGAATCACATTTAAACTTGCAGCGGAATAACAAAAGATTAGTCTTTACATAATCTCAAAAGAAATTTTCTAGTCTAGCACCTACGAGAGTATAACTCTAGATATCCACCTCGGGATCCATGAGCCCATCTAGTGGAGCTTCCCAATGTGTTGGCTCCTTAACCCCGAACTCTTCCTCTAGACCATAATCTGAAAAATATAGTTTTATACGGGTGAACACTAAACTCTGTAGCAACATTCCTCTCAAACTCAAACAAGATTTAGAAAACATGTAAAACAAGTCGGTCTCATTTCGCAAATATCATATATTGATTTTTGAACTAAAACAGGGACATTTAAACATATCTCATTTTTAAGCAACAACAGTGATTTAATGCATAAGTGAAACCAATATACGACTAATAATCCATTACACCATAAACCGTTTCTCCCAAGTTTTTGCGGAATCTCTACTTCCCAAAATTCTTGTAGAAACTATTTCTGGTACAATGAACAATAACCCACCACTGTATTCTTATCTCTAGTATGAAGTAAGACATCACATGAATACCACCAAAAATATCATGGCCTACGTACAACCCACACAAATCCTTTTTTCACGATACCTCGTAAACGATAGTGGTTTAATCCTCGTAAAACACTAACCCCATTATGAGTGGTAGGAAAAGTTTGTATCCATACGGAATAAGAAGGTGTCTACACATTTTATGATACCCGGTCAATAGTAGCCCATGTTTATCCAACAACCACACAAGAGATACAATACTAACAATTTCCTCAAATAACAAATAATTTCATAAATCCCCAATTTCATAAGTTGTAATACAAGAGAACAATATAAGAAAAATAAGCAAAAGATCATTACAACATCATTTTATTATTCAACACCAAGTACTAAAGTTTCAAAGTTAAGAACAAAGGAAGAATCAAGAAGAAAGTCCATCTCTTTTGAAAACTAGGGTTTTATATCAAAAAAATGAGATTTCATAGGTATTCAACCCTAACTTTGTTTTAAACACACTAATAATTGCAAAAGACCAAGGAAAGATAATTTTATAGCATATATATATAAGACACTACAACAAAAAACATTTTTTGCGACTTTTTTTTCCGATGATTTAAATTTGTCGTAAAAAGTTTACTATTCGTGACGATTTTGTAATTTTGTCGTAAATTTCTATTTTGACAATTTTTTTGCGACGTTTTTAAAAAAATGTCACAAAAAGGCGAATCTCTCCTAATTGTTTTGGCAGGAGAAATGGCGGGAATTGGCAAATTAAATAAAAAAATTAATTTAATTAATTTTTTGTTACATTTTTAAAAAACGTCGCAAATAAATTTTTACGTAAATAAAAAATTTAAAAAATAATAATTAAATTAATTTTTCTTGACGTTTTTAGAAACACGTCGCAAAAACGTTGTCAATAATTTTTTACGTAAATAAAAAATTTCAAAAATAATAATTTAATTAATTTTCACGACATTGTTTCAAAAAAGGTCGCTAACAAATTTTTACGTAAATAAAAATTTTAAAAAATAATAATTTAATTAATTTTTCACCACGTTTTTAGAAAAACGCCGCCAATAAAATTTTTTGTAAATAAAAAATTTTAAAAATAATAATTTAATTACTTTTTTGCGATATTTTAAGTTTATCGGAAATATTTTTATCTCATAATATTTTTTGCGACATTTTTTATTTATGTCGCAGAATATAATTTTTTAAAAAATTGTTTGGCCCTAAATGTTTTTTGTTTTTTTGTTTACGACGTTTTTTTGTTTCGTCGCAGAATATAATTGTTTTGTCCTAAATTAAGACATCCTCTAAATCGATCCACAAAAAATCCAGACCACCATGCGACCGACCACAGCTCCAAGAGGCAACTCTCCAGCGACCACTCCGGCGACTGAGCAGCGACAAGAGGCACCACTCCAGCCCCCGGACTCCGACAACCCTAACAAGAAATCAGAGAAGCAGGTGGATGGGTGTGTTTTTCTATTCAGAAATCCTTTTCATTCTCTAGATTTGCATTGGGAGTCTGTTCTGAATGGAAGAAATTGTCTAATTTTATTAATCCTCTTGACTTGCCCTGAAATTGTGCATAGCATTTCATAGTAGGCACTTATGCCATGTTCCTTTTAAATTACAACAACAAATATATTATTTTCTACTAGAACTATAATTTGGAGATCAGAAAGTTAAGTTCAAGATCACGAACACCATTGTTCAAGCTTTTGCCCATCATTGTTCTATGAGATTAGGGTTGCAGTGTTTCTAGACTCTAGAGCCAGTGGAGTTTCTGGTTTTCTAATTTTGCATTTCCTGAGTCAACCTTAATTTCTGGTGAAATTGTGCATTTCTCTGTTCATGAAGAGGTTTCCTCTCTGGATGCATGACTTATAGTCTTATGGGCTCTTTATTTGAAAATAGTTGAATTAATTCAACCGCTGTTCTTACTTTTATTGAACTATATTTCATGTAGTTGTGCTGAAAACCTTGATTTATTTTTGTTCTGGAGGTTTTATCAGAAAACTGCATGTTCTTCTGAGTTCAATTGTTAAATGTACATGATTGATGATGATTCTTGAAATGGAATCCCTAGATTGTCAATGGAAGAATTTGTGGAGACATCTCTGTATCCCGTGCTTTTGGTGACATGCGGTTTAAGACAAAGAAGAATGAGTACATTCTCTCTTTTTTCTCTTCTAAATCATCAGAATTTTTTAGTCGAATTTTGCTCAGCTAACAATCTTGGGCTGTTTTACTCATGGAAAGGATGCTGGAGAAGGGAGTTGAGGAAGGCAGATGGTCTCAAAAATTTTTTTCTCGGTAAAGTACCTCATGTTTGTGGTATTTAAGAAAGTGGATTAAATACTTGTTAGTTTGCTTTGGATGTTCTTCATCATCATGTTTTGGATCCCCGAGACATTTCTGCATTGAGTACTTGTAGTCAATACAATTACCTGAGCAAATCATGGGAAATAACCAAGTCATCTTTTAAAGAGAAAATGTTCAAGATAATACCAATTCAAGAATTGATTTTGAATAACAAGTTGGATAGTTTAACCGGCAGTTCAATACTAGTTTGTTTGTTTAATGCAAATGCTTCTCTATTTTGTGCTAGGATACAATTTAATGGAGACTTGGTTGCTGCATATCCTGATATTTTTCAACTAGCTCTTGGATCAGATGCTGAATTTTTGTTATTAGCATCTGATGGCTTGTGGGACTACATGAACAGGTCCATCATGATTCTTCAAGATATACTGTATAACAATTTAGGTTCAACTAACTTAATTGTTATTTATTCTCTCTTTCTTTGGTAGTTTAAGCATGAGAATACTATCATCTTATCAAATCTGCTATATTTCAGCTTGGATGCAGTTGCTTTTGTTAGGAATCAACTACGACAGCATGGAGATGTTCAGGTAAGCAATGTGCCTTCATAGCTAGATTGGTTCCGTAGCAGACAGTCTAAACTTCTGTTGTCCTGATTACAGATAGCCTGTGAAGCACTTGCGCAAGCAGCTTTGGTATGACGTGCCAGGATGATCTTTTTTCCTTCTGCTTCATATCTAAAATTATTTGCTTTGTCTGTTCTATTAACTCTGCAAGTTTATATATTACACGACCAAGGCTCACAAGACAATGTCAGCATTGTCATTGCTGATTTAGGGTATGCACTTTTGTTTGGCAGTAGTTGTTACCATTCTTGTGCTGAGACAGTTCATTTGACTGGATATTTGGTCTCTGACCTATAGTTGGCTTTATTAACTACAGAATGAATTTCAAAACTTAGTGTTATATAGTCTCTTCCAGTTGACTTTTCATTGTATTCGTCATCTAAATGCCTCGTGACTGAATACATGTTTATTACTGCTATTATTTTCAAAATTCTATTGAACTCAACTTTATTGTAACAACTGTTTCTTTGCCCCTGCTAAAAGGATAGATGTGACTTGGGGTCAGTTGGTGGAGATATTGGAGCATAATATTCCTGAATCATCAACCTATTCTACATCTATGAATTCTTTACAGCTATTTTATTGATTAAAGAATGACACCCTTCCTTTCTTTTTAACTTTTCGTTTGCTCTTGGCTGTGACTTGTGCACAGGCATACAGATTGGCAAAGTTTGCCTCTGCCGCAATACAACTTTTTGTATGAATTGGGCCAGGTTTTTGCAACTGTTGGTATTGTTTCATTTGGAATATGGATGACATATCAGCTTTCTTCATGAGTTTGAAGCCTGCCGTCACTGTATACAATAATTCAACCAAGATTTTTACCCCTCATCTATTGTTTGTAAATATACGTCCTAAATCTTAAACGGATTAGCAGGTGCACAATCTGAAGAAAATTTTAATAATGTTTTAATATTCATTGCTGATGCATATATTTAATAATTTTAATAATGTTTTAATTTTAATAATTTTTATTTTAATTTGAAATGGCAGGTACTTTAGTGAATGTGGTTATTCCACGTCCAAATCCAAATGGGGAACATGTTCCTGGACTTGGAAAGGTTAGTGTGGTCTCACTCTATCAATCCTTCGGCTGATGGATGATGTAAGAAACTTTGTCCTGCATTGTGGTTCAGATCCTGGTACTGATCTGTTGAGCTTGGAGATGGTATTTCAAGGCATAGAGCTATTCAAGTTTAAGAGACATTGAATATAATTAGATATGGTTTAAATACTCTTGAAGGATTAAAACTATTTTTTCTATTTTTAGAACTTCTTGTTCTTTGATTCTTGCAATTCATTCTTTTTGAAAATAAAATTTTGTTTTTTTTTAAAAAATGTGAAATGTATTAATTGTGTTAGTTTTTTATTGAACACATGTATTGTTGGTGTATAGGTGAAAAATTTTATTAGAATATAATTTTTTAAGAATTATTTTTTAAAAAAAAACTTTTTTGCGACGAAATTAAAATCGTCGCTCAAAATTATAGGAACAATTTGTTTTGTGACGATTTTTATATGTCGCAAATGTATTTATTTAATTATTTTTTACATTTTTTATTTTTGTAAAAAATTATTCGCGATGATTTTTTTACGTCGTAAAAAATTAATTAAATTATTATTTTTTATTTTTTTTCATTGGTGAAATAGATTTTACCGACGTTTTTTGAACTTTTCGCGATTTTTTTTTTGTCCAAAATTTTTTTTTTTTGCGATGAAAATATATTTGCGTCACAAAATACTTTCTGCAATGAACACGCGACGAAAAAAAATGTCGCAAAAAATAATTGGTGACGATTTTTTTTTAATTTAGCGACGAAAAAAATCGTCGAAAAAATGATTTTTGTTTTAGTGAGATTTAAAGTCAAAAGAATACATATAATTAAGTCTTAACCTCAATGTAAGAGAATAGGAAGAAAATCCATACCTTTCTCCTTGGCTTTGGTGTGAAGGACAAGAAGATTTGATCTTGAATCACCCTAAAACTCTTATTTTTCTTTTCTCTTTGTCTCTCTAAATCTTTCTATTAGGGTTCTAAGAGGTGTGAGGTGAGAGTGGGGCGAAATAATGAGAGCAAATGGAGTGAAAAAAGAGTTTTAAAACATAAAAATTATGACTTTTTAACGATCTGTCGGTAGTTTGGATTCATTGGCAATTTACTACCTGTTGAGCTACCGGTTGTTCGGATCCACTGGCAACTTGTTACCTGTTGACTACCGGTAGTTCGGATCTATTTGAAATTTACTACCTATTAACTACAGGTAGTTTGGATCTACTAAACAGTGTACTACCGGTAAGTCTTGTCCAGATTTGTCTATTTCTTTTATTTTTCATTTTCAACCCATTTCAAACCCTTCCAAAATCAACCCAAATTTATACAACATACATTTGTACATCAAACATAATTGGTATAAGTTCTATTGCAAACGGTTTCATATATTTATAATTCAAAACTAAGTTTGAATTAAATATTTACCCGATTCTACACTATTAACATTTTTATTTCTACTCCTATCATCTACTTAGTTCATGCATACTCCATTACGTATATTAGCATTTTAAAAACATAATTACGTTGCTATATTTGATAATATGAGTGTGAGAGTTTACATGATTTCAGCGCCTATATAATTCGTTTCCAAATTTGGTATTTTTTCATTACTCTAACTTTTTTCCTTCTTCTTCAACAATGGAGACTCATCATGCTGCTACTCTTGAAGCGGCTGTTTCTCAAGTTGAAACTACTCAATACACTCTTCATACCTTCAATCCATTTTCTGATTCTTTTTCAACACAAGAAACGGCCCTTGGGCTCGCTTTCACAAAGATGCGTACAGATGAAGTGTGGCGTATCAACCCTGATTGCCACATGTCCCTACCGTTCAACTTCAGGGAATCTCTCCAATGAAAAAATTGGCCTAGTAGCAATTTAGTTCGTGCATGGAAAACCCTTTCCCCTAATTGGATTTCATCAGTGGCTCGTGTTAAAGCAACCAAAGTTTCTCTATGGTGTCATCTTGGAATATATGTTGCCATAGGACTGAGTGTTATTTCAATGCCTATTGACAAGTTGCCACTTAGCGCCACTCTCTCATTTTGGTTCGTGGTGAATAATGCCCTCCACTTTTGATTTGGCATGATGGCCCACAGTATATTATATTTTTGCCCACCTCGGTCTTCCTCCTTTGGGATTAGGCTAATGCTCTGCTTACACATGTGGAAGTGAATTACGTGTTTTCACTTGGTGTGCACATCAAGTCAATATCTACCTATTCTTATTTTCTTGCGGCCTGTCGTGACTGCGATGACGCCCTTGTTTTAGATCAAGAATACATCTCGTTCTTACTATACTGGCTTAACTAGTTCTTCTTCTACACTCTGTCTTACAACGTAATCAAAGAGTTTATCTTGTTGGCCGCCTTCTTGGCCACGTGATCTTTATACACTCCCTTTTCATGCTTGCCCATCTCTATCGCAGAATGTAGAAGACAGTGTCGTCAAAGTTGCAGAGTTGTTCAGGTCCTCTCTAGGTCCTTCAGCTATGGATTTGTGTCTATTTCTCAAAACTCTCTATTCCACCTACTGATAACTCCTACTTTTCTTATGGCCGCCTATTTGCCACAGTCCCTTGTAGGGAATAGTCCTTTGTTGACATCTTCTCTTATTTGTATAATCTGAATGACTCATGACTCATCTGGATATTGTTTTCCTGGAACCGAGGTCCCGAACAGTTCCTTTTCAATCCTAAGGAAGCAACTACGAATGCCGCTACTTCTCATGAAGATGCTTGGTTCTCGTATCTCCACCCTCGAGACTTGCATTACGGCCTATGGCCGACGTATGGTCCCAACGCTTACTGCGGCTTTAAAGTCTACATACCTCAACAATTCACTCGTCTTTTAGCCCTAGTGCAACAAATCACCTATCCTTTTTCTTGCACTTTAAATATTGATCTTATCACTCAGTCGAATGTAACCGACATGACCGTCTGAGAAGTCAGCCATCACTACTCTCATGCCTGCTGTTATTTTCGGATGGCCCCCTTTAGGAAATCATTCGATATTTCAAAGATTGCCAAGGTTTGATGGAGGGGATAGGCCAATTGGAAATTTGGAGGATCTAGCTTCTTCAACCGTTCCTACTTGTCCGACACGGCCTCACTGCAAAGATAAGTAGTGACATTCTTCTGCAACTCTTTCCACATCTGTTTCTCATGCT